AATTCCAAAGCACTTACTGTGAAGAGAATCGACTACAATTCTTTCAATTTTAAGCTTTCTTTTTGGCGGTAAATTCCCATGAAACACATTTTTTACAATTTTGAAAAATTCCACATAACGATGCTGTAAAGCAACGGAAGTCCCAATTTTAGTGAGAATGCAAAGTTTAGAGTCAGTATCCTAATCTCTCTTTTTCAGTTTAAGAGCAGGAAGAAATTAAGCAAGTGCTCATTAAAAAAAGAATGCAAGTTAGTTCAAGAGACCTTTTTTGACAGCCAATATATATTTATATGTTTTAGTTTTACTTTATACATGAGATCAAAGCTAAGGACATTAATAACTACAATTTAACATTTTATCACAAACTCTTTTTTGTTGCTGTTGTTGACTGTTAATTTTTTTTTTTTTTGCTTGCTTGTGAGGTTTTTTGGCAACTGTTTGGTCGTAACACACAAAACAGCAGTTGAACCACCAAAAGAAAAAGAAAAAAAATATCCAAACAAAAGAGACCGTTAAGAAAAACATTTCTTCCCCCCCAGCCTGATCCACCAACAGTGCAAGCCAGGAGAGGGGCTGGGCATGGCTCTGTCTAACCTGGCGTCCGGCTGTCCCAAAGCCACACAGCATGCCTATCCCTTCACTAAGTCTCTGGGTTCACGTAAAAAGATAGACAGCGAGCGGCCTGGCTCCACTGGCCCTGCGACTCCACATGACCAGCGCACACGGGCCTCCCAGGAAACTGCTACAAGGCACAAGTGCTGCCACCTGAGTGTTAGAGAAGGGTTTCAAATGTAACCAAATTAATGGTGCCACTAACCACTTCCCACAAAAACAAAACCAATCAAAAAACCCCCTTTCAAAAGAGAACACTTACTTGTGATGGAATTGCAATCTTTTGAAATTCATTCGTGTAAGTCGTATGATATCTTTGTTCTCCAGAGGGATCAATAGTTTCCTACAGAAAAGGGAAAATACAACCACAGTTTACCTTCACATCAGCAGTCTTTGGGCAGAGCT